TGTGTAAGTTTCTACACGGTAAAAAAGGTACACGAGTAAGTTCCTACACTACGTATTTTATAAGTTATCAATCTAGTTATCTAGTTATAAGTTATCTAATTTTATAGACCTACGTCTATAAAATACTGTCATACATTTTAACCTTTTATTTTATACAAAACATAAGTATAATGCATTCTATGTAATAATAATTCATATTGTAAGAACATAATAGTGTATAACTATATATATATATACTTATTAAATTATACATTATATAGAAAGCGGTGCTTATATTTTATTTTACAATAAATTATTAAATATTATAAGGAATTATATATTATATAGAATAAAGGCCATAGGGTTAAAATGTATGACAGTATTATAATATGATATAACTGATATTAGATTGATAACTTATAATATACGTAGTGAAGAAACTTACACGTGTACCGACCTGCTTTTTACTGTGTAGGATACTTACATAATATGAACCTTATTCTATCACGTAGGAACTAACATATGTATTTTGTGTACCTGCTAGGTCTCGTGTAGAAACTTACATTCACCCATAAAGTATATATTCTAGAAATTTTAAGTATACTCACGAATAATATTTTTAAATTACACCAATAGTGGTAATTAAAACTAGTGGTTATTTATATGTAATTTTGTCCAAATTTGAACTTAAAATAACCATAAAAAAACTGCGTTTGTAATAGTTTGTATAGTTTTTAATTTTTTTTTTAATCACAGAATTAACTACTTACGTGAAACTTTGTTTTAAATTTCAATTCCTTAGCTATAAAAGTTTATTGTTTTATAAATTTTTAACAACTAAATAATTTGTAAATTTTCAATTTAACACATTTTGTAAAAATTTGAACTTTACAYTGTTTAAATTAAACGTTCTAATGTAATTTTAATATTTTTCAACTGCTATTCGATAAAAGAAGACAAATTTACGAAGAACGTTGTATTGAATTTTTAAATCTTAGATTAAAAAAGATGATTTTTTATGAATTTYTAACTCAAAATAATGTGTACATTTTCATGATTTTTACATAT